AAATAACAACTCTGAAGCATTACTTCTATTTTAAAAGTTACACACTGGACTGCACAGTGAAATACTCTAAGGGTCTTTCTTGCTGTCAGATATCCTGGATTCAATTCATTCTTGAATACCAGTAATAACTGTGATAAATAGGCTAATGCAGTGAACTCACCTTTTTGATAATCTGGGATTTGAATGCACAGTAGTTTACACTTGTCTTTTGATCGGTTTAAGTCTAGAGCTCAACCATTATACCTATCCCACTCCTGAAAAAAACGTTCAGCTCTGGTGAGAGCGTGTGTTGGAACCCTGGCAAAGCTATGCAGGCTAGTAGTCTGCTCAGGTCTAGTGGATCAAAGCCAGTCGAGGCTAGACAGATGTACACTAACTTACATCCACAGCACTGAGGAGATGCTAATAATATAAACCTTCTGTCCCTGTTGGGCCATACTTAGATCAATATCAAACATAAAGGCCCAGTTCTGCAAGGTACCAGACAGCCTCAGGACTGATGACTCCCATAGGAGAAGACAGCACGCAGCTCCAGAAAGAACACACTTGCCAATGTAAATTTGAGAGGCTGCCAGACAAACCTGGCATGACTTACTTGTCAGACCTAGTGCCATAAAACCTAGTGCCATAAGCAGGGTGACAGTGTGCAAACCATTACCTTTCATCTTAAGTCATAAGCACTAGCCCACTCTTCCAGCCTGTCCAGGTCCCTCTGGAAGATAGCTTTCCTTTCTGACATGTCCACCTCACCACCTAGTTCAGCGTCATCAAACTTGGTGAGAGTGTTTTCAATCCCATTACCTGTATTATTTATGAAGACAGGACAAGGGGAAATGGCTTTAAACTGAGAGAGGGTAGATTTCTGGTCAAGTGGAAGGTGTCCCTGCCTGTGGCAGGAGGGTTGGAACTAGATGATATTTAAAGTCACTTCAATCAAAACCATTCTATGATTCTGTGATTCTGTATTGAACAGCATGGGGCCCAATATCGATCCCTGGGGGACTCCACTCGTGACACCTGCCAGCTTGAGTAAAAAGCACTAATTACCACCCTCCAAGTGCAGCCTGTAAGCCAGTTCTCTATCCATCTCAGAGACCACCCACTGAGTCTGTATCTTGATAGTTTGTCTAGGAAGAGGCTGTGGAAAAATGTCCAATGCACTGCTGAAGTCCAGGTAAACACTATCCACTGCTCTCCTCATGTGGATAGGAAATGTTATTTTGTTGTAGGAGGTGATCAGGTTAGTCTGGCATGATATGCCCTTCATAAATCTGTGCTGGCTTTTCCCAATCACCTGCTTCATTTGGCTTGCAAGTTTCTAGAAGAACTCTTTTCAGGGACTGAAGTAAGACTAATGGGTCTATAGTTTCCTGGGTCCTCTTTTGGATGTAGTTATAAATAA